CCTTCCCCTGGTCGATGTATGGTCGCGGCCCTTCCCGAGGCAGGCTGGCCGTCGGCGATTCTGGAGGTGGTTGGGGTTGCCAATCTGAGCAAAGGCGTGGCCTTTGGTTACTACAGGGTGGTCTCATGGAGGGGCGGTGGCCCTAGCGGTGGGAGCCGTGCGTTGGTCGTGGGCGGGCTGTGCGGCTCGGATGCGTGCAGGCAACCATGCCGCTTGGGCGGCATGGCTACGTGTGTTGACGGACCGGGGCGGAAGAAGAGTTGAAGCACCAGGGTACATCACCTACCCAGTCTGTGTACTGGTCGACGATGACGGCGTCCGTGGATGTCTTGTGGTCCTTGCAGAATCCGTCGTGGTGCTTCTACCCCTTCCATCTGTACTCCGGGTGAAAACTCGATCCTCGAATCGGACGGTGGCGACGTTCGTGGTCGTGCCCTTCCTGGAGGCACCGTCTTGGAGTCCTCGGTCCGACATGTCCGTTACACATCCTCCTGGACGATCGCTCCTTGTGGTGGTGTTCTCCGTCAGCTCTAAGCGGATTCTTTTTGCTCATCTTTTAGGTGCTTTGTAGTCGTTGTGGTTGTGTGTCGGTGCCCGGCATTCATGTATCTTGCCTTGGGTGTGTGGTGTGCGTTTGTATTAGATGCTTTGTTGTTGTGGTTCACGCTTTATAATATAAAGCATGGGGAAACCCTTTTTCGTAAGGAGGTGGAGGATACCGGCTTCAAGCTGTGGTACACAGGGACGTGTGCAAACAGAAATGGCGTAGGCATCTTGATCAACAAGAGTTCTGGGAAGGCCTTGAGGACATGATTAGGAGTGTTCCAATTGGAGAGAAGCTCTTCATAGGAGGAGACCTCAATCGACACGTGGGTATTTGATATTTTTTAATATTTTCTATGGCGACCAGAGCAGCTGATCTTTGATATTTTTTAATAGTGTCTCGAATAAGTAAAGATGAAGAAGAATCAAGATTCTTGACAAGCTGAACTTTTGTTGTTAGTATCACACATAGAAAAATGATGCGAAGAATCAAGATTCGAGATAGGCTTAACTTTTGTGGTATCAACTGAATCAGTGCTTCAGCTGGTGATTCAACAAGTCTTGATAAGCTAGATTTAGATCCACTCTAATTTCTAGTTTTTTGCCATTTGTGCGTGAGAAGGAATACTGGTTGTGTAGAGTTGTGGACATGATGCATCACATCTAAAACCCCTCCATTTAATGGATGCCACAAATTAAGTAGAAAACTAGCTCCACATCACACCTAACGATCTCCCCTAGAACTACTAATAGTGAACTGGTGATGATGGATGGATTGTACTTTTTTGGCAAAAAAAAAGCAAGTTTTAATGTGTAAGATGGATATCACAACTAACTCTCAACATGCTC